TCCCTGCTAGCCGCTGCCCTGCAGGACCTCCCGCGAAAGACGTGCCGCGGTGCCACATGGAGGCACGCCCTGTGCTGCCGCGAGACACGCGGCCGCCCCGAAAGCTAAGGAGCTGTCGTCGAAGAGGTCTCCGAACATGCTCGCGTTCATGATGCAGGTGGAGGCGTGCTCGTTGTAGACCCAAGCGCCGCCTGGGCACGTCAGATCGACGCGGTCGTTCAGCGCCTCGGCCCACAGGTCGTCGGTGACGTCAATCGCCTCCGAGTAGCAGGTGCCTACCCCGCGGCCCCCGCCCTCGAACGCGAAGGCCAGGATCCCCACCTCCTTCACCAACTCCATGCACGCCTCGGCGGAACATTGCGCATTCAATTCCACTCGCCGCAGCTGTCGGAGTGGTAGCCCGCCTCGTGGTTCTTGAGGTAGCCCTGCTGCGCCTCCTCCTCCGCCTTCTGCGTTGCCGAGAACGCGCGGGGGCAGAATCTCACCAGCAACTTCTGGGCAGACTCGGGCTCGTTGGTGGGCGCCGTGAGGCCTGGGATGCGCTCGTAGTTGGTCTCCCAGGGCTCGCTCGCCCGGCCCCTGAGCACCAGTATTCTATTCGTCGCTCTCCCGGCGATCGGGACCATGAAGATCTGCACGCCCTTGTCCTTCAACGCCGTCGCCTTTATGGTCGTGCGGTACGCGTTGGTGTACTTGCAGTCAAAAAGCACCATGACAGCGCTCTGCGCGTCGTCTCGGCCGTCCGCGAACATGTTGTCGGCCGCCTGGAGGGCCTGCATCGTGTTGGTGAACCCACACTGCCACGGCAGCCCAGCGATCGCCGTGCTGACGGACTCCAGGTCGCTCGTGATCGGGACCACCTCGAGGGCCGCCGCGACGGTTCCATTGTCGGAGTACTCGCCATTTACGAGCAGCACCAGCCCGATGCGCGTGTCCTCCACGCCGTAGTACGTGCTCTGGTACTGACTGGTGAGGTTCATAGCAGAACGAACTTCTGGAGGATGTCGAAGCCCTCCTGCTTCAGGGAGCCGCTGCCGTCGATCGCAATGACGAGGTCCTGCCTGGCGATGCAGATCTCGTCGCCGACGCAGTCCGGGGTGCTTCTGCCCGGGGCACCTGCCGTTCGCGCGGATGGGGATGTCCACCCTGCGCACGCGCTCCTGGATACCGCCGCCGCAGGCCATCGAGCAAGGCTCACACGTGGTTCACGGCATGAGCGTGCAGTGACGGTCGCACGAACCGGTGTTGCACGACTGCTCCTCGAGCGTGGTGTCGCACTCCGTCCCCCCGTTCTTGGGCTTCACGAGAATGGACCGGGTCTTTCCCTGGGTGTCGCCCCCGCACTCCCTGGAGAAGCCCGACCAGCCGAACCACTCGGACATGGAGCAGTGGACCAGGCAGTGGAACTGGTTGCACTTAATGCCCTCGGTGCCGTTCTTGCGCTCGAAGAACAGCGGGGGCCAGGCCATGCCGAAGGAGTTCGGGGAGACGATGACCTGCCTGGTGAGGTGCTTCATGCCGCCGCACGTGTCGACGTCGACGCCGCAGTCTACCGGCACTGAGCTGCCCCTCCCGTCGGTGGTGCAAGGCCCCGCGGACCAGTCCGTCACGTCGCAGTCCTTGATCGACGCCGTGGGCGAGACGGTGCTGTACCGCATTAGCGCATTGCGCACGGTCCGGATCCCACAGATGTTGGTGTAGAGGATCTCGCTCATGCGCTTCTTGCAGTCCGCCATCTTGATCGTGAAGGCACGCTCGATGTCGCGGTGCTGCTGCTGCTTCTCGCGCGTCGCCGCCGTGAGGGAATTGATCTCGGAGATGGCCTCGCCCAGCATCTCCGTGAACTTCATCTTGTTCGACCACAGCGTCGCAATCTGCTCGTTCATGTTCTCCTTCTCGCCCTCGTAGGCGTCGCGGTTGCGCTGCATGATGTAGGTCAGCTCGTCCACCAGGTCCTTGGACTTGCCCCACTCTAGCGCCATGAGGTCGTGGAGGTACCCGCAGTTGACCTGGCCGTTGATGCACTTCCTCGAGCCGCCCTTCGGCTGCTTGACCGACTTCGGCGGGGGCGCCTGATCGATCTGCAGCAGCGAGGGCGCCCCGGAGCTTGCGGCCCCCAGGACTTCCTGGAGCACCTTCTGCACCCTCAGCGACCGATTCAATTTCGCTGCCAGGGAGGCGTCGCTCACCTCCACCCGGGTGCCGTTGTCCGAGTCGCAGATCTGGAACTGCGTGAGGGAGTACGTATCGTCACCGTAGGCGTTGGGACACTTGGACAGCTGCAGGATGGCGGTGAAGACGTCCTGGTCATCCTGGCGCAGCGACAGTTCGTACGCGTTCTTCTCGCGGGTTGACTGGAAGCCCCGCTTCAGGATCCCCAGGGCGCCCTCCAGGTCGTGGATCCGAGTCTGCATGTCCGCGATGCCCCCTTCGGCCTCAGCCTTCATGCGCTCCTGGTCGGCGAGGTCCGAGCCCAGGTGCTCCAGGTCTGTCACCACCTGGCTGAAGACCATGCGGTTGCTCTCCTCGAACTCCTTGCACTCGACCTCGATCTGGTCCAGCTGCAGCCACGCGTCGTACATCATGTTGTTCAGATACACGCGGCCTTTCGCTAGCGACACCTCGCTGAACTGCCCGGCCGCCTGCCCCCCGTTGGACAGGTGCAGCAGGGACGCCACATCCTTGGGCAGCTTGTCCTCCAGCAGTGGCAGCGCATCGCTGAGCTTCATCTTCTTGTGCAGCTTATGCGCGATGTGCCGAGTTGTGGTGTCCCTGCTCCGCAGCATGTCCTGCACCATGTAGCCCACCTTCGCGCGCAAGCTGGTGCCAGCCACGGCTCGCTTCCCCTCGGCGTCCGCGCCGGAGCGGAGAAGGGCAGCGCGGCCCGGCGCGCAGAGGGCGAGAGCCAGGGCGAGGCCCAGCATCAGCCTCATCGCTGCAGGCTGACTGGCCCTGGTATATGCTTCGTTGTCTGCGATGCTCGCGGGGGGCGAGTCGGAGAGTGCCACTTGGGGCAACAAGACGGCCACTTGAAGGACCATGTGAAAAGGCACGCGAGCCTTCCGACAAGTCACCTCGCGCTCCCCTCAGCGCCGTGCGTCAGCACCTGCGCGCCAGCATCGTGTCAGCACAATGCTTGGGCGGTGTATTGCTGACGCTGCGCGGCGGCGTTGTAGCGTGGCGCCGGCAACAGTGAAGGAATTCAAATCCAAATGTTTCCTGGAGTGGGCTCCACCAGAGAATTCCCCATTTCACTCAACAGTGCTTGCGCTTAGGGGTTCTTACTTCTCCTACTTCTGGAAACTGAATGGCTCACCCGAGGTTTCGCCTGGTGCCCGCCAGTGGGCGCCTCGTGCGATTGGTGGAAGAGCCTAATTTCCGCATGGGGCCCCCCCCAGGACGCCTGTGGGCGCCTTGTGGGAGCCTCGTGCGATGGGCGGCCCCATGGCTTGCACCACATGGCCTCTACGACAAAGCTTGCACCACATAGCTTACACCATTCAACTTGCATCACGAAGCTGACACCGCATGTGTACATACATATATACGAATGAATTAGAACCACGCGCGTGCTTCGCGCGCTTAGGCTTTAGCGAGCTCTAGTTAAGGTAAAAAGTGAGGACAACGATTGTCGCACAGGTCGTGCCCTCAGGGAGCTCCACCTGCGGCCCCAGAGACAGGCTTGGCTAGCGTTCACCCGCCCTTGTCGGCACACCCCTCACAGGGATCGCGCCCCACAGGGAGCTCCACCTACCAGAAACAAGGTTCGCACAGTGGCACGCCCCTCACGCGGATCGTTCCCCGCAAATAGCTGCACGCGCGGCATCAGACTGATAACGTCGCCCCGCTACCTTCGGCACACCTCTCACACGGATCGTGGCCGCAACGGGTTCCACGGACGGCCCTGGACACATGGTTCGCATCCCGCCCTCCCGTCTACTTCGGCACACCTCGCACCCTGATCGTGGCCCACAGGGATCCCCACCTACGGCCCCAAAGGCAAAGTTCGCACTGCGCCCTCCCCCTGGCTCTTGCGGCACACCCCATGACGCGGATCGTGCCCACAAGGAGCGCCACCTAAAGGCCCAAAGACAAGGTTTGCACAACGCTCCCCCGCCCATGTCGATCGACACGTCACGCGAATCATGCCCCAGAATGAGACAATGCAACAGCATACTTCTTGGGGTCCGCGATGGCAAGAATTCCTCTTACTTGTAAAGTTTGACTCCCAGAACTACCTACCATTGGTTCCCAACCCGATGGCAAGAATTCCCCTTACTTGTAAGTTTTGACTCCCAGAACTACTAACCAGTGGTTCCCAACCCCTCCAGAGTGGGCCCTGCGCAGACCCTTCAGAGCCCTCCAGAGGCCCTTAAGGGGGCCTTCCAGGAGACCCCTGATGGGGGCCCTCCAGAGGCCCCGTGTGAGCACTGCGTGATGGTGTTGGGCGTCAGCCTGGCGTGACAGCGTTGCGTGGCCAATGTAGGTCAGCAGTGCGTGTCAGGTGCGGTTGCCCCCGGCCCCCTCGCCCTGCTGCAGCAGCTCCTCCTCCATCCCCCCCTCGCTTCCTCTCTTCCTCACCCTCCTCCTCCAACTCCGTCTCCAGCTCCTCGTGCGCCTCCTGGCCCTCCTCCTCCTCCTCCTCCTCCTCCTCATCCCGTAAATCCTCCTCGTCCGCCTCGCCCTCTTGCTCGCTGCAACCACCGTCGATGGCGCCCTGTCTCCCGCGAAGACATCCACCGTGCCCGTGGTGCCCTGGCCTCTCGATCGAGGCCGCGCGACCAACTCCAAAGGGAAAAAAGGGCAGAAGAAGCGCGCCCAGCGCAGGCGGACCCTCCACCCACCTTTGCTCCCCTTCCCCTTCCACTCCCTCTCCCCATCCACCTCTACTTCTCTCCCCGCTAGCCGCTGCCCTGGAGGAGCTCCCGCGAACGCCGCGCCGCGGTGCAGCATGGAGGCACGCCCTGTGCTGCCGCGAGGCACGCGGCCGCCCCGCGAGCTCAGGAGCTCTCGTCGAAGAGGTCTCCGAACATGCTCGGGTTCATGATGTAGGTGGAGGTGTACTCGTTGTAGACCCAAGAGCCGCCTGGGCACGTCATGTTGACGCGGTCGTTCAGCGCCTCGGCCCACAGGTCGTCGGTGACGTCGATCGCCTCCGAGAAGCAGGAGCCTGCCCCACGGCCCCCGTCCTGGAACGCGAAGGCCAGGAGCCCCACCTCCTTCACAAACTCCATGCACGCCTCGGCGGTGTCGGCAGTGCGCATTCTCTTCCACTCGCCGCAGCTGTCGGAGGGGTAGCCCTCCTCGTGGATCTTGAGGTAGCCCTGCTGCGCCTCCTCCTCCGCCTTCTGCGATCACCAGCAGCTTCTGGGCAAACTCGGGCTCGTTGTTGATGAGCGCCGTGAGGCCCGGGATGCGCTCGTAGTTGGTCTCCCAGGGCTCGCTCGCCCAGCCCCTGAGCACCAGTAGACTGTTCGTCGAGCTCTCGGCGATCGGGGCCATGAAGATCTGCACGCCCTTGTCCTTCAACGCCGTCGCCTTCATGGTCGTGCGGTACGCGTTGGTGTACTTGCCGTCCGAAAGCACCATGACGGCGCTCTGCGCGTCGTCTCGGCCGTCTGCGAACATGTTGTCGGCCGCCTGGAGGGCCTGCATCATGTTGGTGAACCCACGCTGCCACTGCAGCCCAGCGATCGCCGTGCTGACGGACTCCAGGTCGCTCGTGATCGGGACCACCTCGAGGGCCGCCGCGACGGTTCCATTGTCGAAGTACTCGCCATTTCCGAACAGCACCAGCCCAATGCGCATGTCCTCCACGCCGTAGTACGTGCTCTGGTACTTGCTGGTGAGGTTCAGAGCGAACTTCTGGAGGATGTCGAAGCCCTCCTGCTTCAGGGAGCCGCTGCCGTCGATCGCAATGACGAGGTCCTGCCTGGCGATGCAGATCTCGTCGCCGACGCAGTCCTGGGTGTTGCACTCCTGCATCTGGAAGCGGTCGGGGTGCTTCTGCCCCGGGCACTTGCCGTTCGCGCGGATGGGGATGTCCACCTTGCGCACGCGCTCCTGGATGCCGCCACCGCAGGCCATCGAGCACGGCTCCCACGCGGTCCACGGCATGAGCGTACAGTCGCGGTCGCACGAACCGGTGTTGCACGGCTGCTCCTCGAGCGTGGCGTCGCACTCCGTCCCCCCGTTCTTGGGCTTCACGAGGATGGACCGGGTCCTCCCCTGGGTGCCGCCCCCGCACTCCTTGGAGCAGCCCGACCAACCGGACCACTCGGACAAGGAGCAGTGGACCGGGCAGTGAAACTGGTTGCACTTCATGCCCTCGGTGCCGTTCTTGCGCTCAAAGAACAGCGGGGGGCAAGCCATGCCGAAGGAGTTCGGGGAGACGATGACCTGCCTGGTGAGGTGCTTCATGCCGCCGCACGCGTCGACGTCGACGCCCCCGACGTCGGCGGGGCAGCTGTCGTCACAGTCTACGGGTACGGAGCTGCCCCTCCCGTCGGTAGTGCATGGCCCCGCGGACCAGTCCGTCACGTCGCAATCCTTAATCGAATTCGTGGGCGAGACACTGCTGTACCGCATCAACGCATTGCGCACGGTCCGGGTCCCGCAAATGTTAGTGTAGAGGATCTCGCTCATGCGCTTCTTGCAGTTCGCCATCCTCATGGTGAAGGCGCGCTCGATGTCGCGGTGCTGCTGCTGCTTCTCGCGCGTCGCCGCCGTGAGCGAATTGATCTCGGAGATGGACTCGCCCAGCATCTCCGTAAACTTCATCTTGTTCGATCTCAGTGTCGCAATCTGCTCGTTCATGTTCTCCTTCTCGCCCTCGTAGGCGTCGCGATTACGTTGCATGATGTACGTCAGCTCGTCCACCAGGTCCTTAAACTTGCCCCACTCGAGCGCCATGAGGTCGTGGAGGTAGCCGCAGTTGACCTGGCCGTTGAGGCACTTCCTCGAGCCGCCCTTCGGCTGCTTAACCGACTGCGGCGGGGGCGCCTGATCGATCTGCAGCAGCGAGGGCGCCCCCGAGCTAGCCGCCCCCAGCACTTCCTGGAGCACCTTCTGCACCCGCGGCGACCGATTCAATTTCGCTGCCAGAGCGGCGTCGCTCACCTCCACCTGGGTGCCGTTGTCCGTGTCGCAGATCTGGAACTGGACGAGAGAGTACGTGTCGTCACCGTAAGCGTTGGGACACTTGGACAGCTGCAGGATGGCAGTGAAGACATCCTGGTCGTCCTGGCGCAGCGACAGCTCGTACGCGTTCTTCTCACGGGTTGTCTGGAAGCCCCGCTTCAGAATCCCCAGGGCACTCTCAAGGTCGTTGATCCGAGTGTTCATGTCCGCAATGCCCCCCTCGCCAAGCCTTATGCGCTCTGGCGGCGAAGGTCGAGCCCCAGTGCTCCAGGTCTCCCCCGTCACCACCGGGATGGAGACTCTTGCTGCAGCCTCTCCTCGAACTCCTGCACTCGACCTCGATTCTGGTCCAGCTGCAGCCACGCGTTTTCGACAATATGTTGTTCAGATTACACGCGGCCTTTCGCAGAGTGACACCTCGCTGAACTGCCCGGCCGCCTGCCCCCCGTTGGACAGGTGCAGCAGGGACGTCACATCCTTGGGCAGCTTGTCCTCCAGCAGTGGCAGCGCATCGCTCAGCTTCATCTTCTTGTGCAGCTTATGCGCGATGTGCCGAGTTGTGATGTCCTTGCTCCGCAGCATGTCCTGCACCATGTAGCCCACCTTCGCGCGCAAGCTGGTGCCAGCCACGGCTCGCTTCCCCTCGGCGTCCGCGCCGGAGCGGAGAAGGGCAGCGCGGCCCGGCGCGCAGAGGGCGAGAGCCAGGGCGAGGCCCAGCATCAGCCTCATCGCTGCAGGCTGACTGGCCCTGGTATATGCTTCGTTGTCTGCGATGCTCGCGGGGGGCGAGTCGGAGAGGGCCACTTGGGGCAACAAGACGGCCACTTGAAGGGTCATGGGAAAAGGCACGCGAGCCTCCCGACAAGTCACCTCGCGCTCCCCTCAGCTCCGTGCGTCAGCACCTGCGCGCCAGCATCGTGTCAGCACAATGCCTGGGCGGTGTATTGCTGACGCTGCGCGGCGGCGTTGTAGCGTGGCGCCGGCAACAGTGAAGAAATTCAAATCCAAATTTTCCCTGGAGTGGGCTCCACCAGAGAATTCCCCATGTCACTCAACAGTGCTTGCACTTAGGGGTTCTTACTTCTCTTACTTCTGGAAACTGATTGGCTCAGCCGAGGTTTCGCCTGGTGCCCGCCAATGGGCGCCTCGTGGGCGCCTCGTGCGATTGGTGGAAGAGCCTCGCTTCCGCCTGGTGCCCTCCCGAGGGCGCCTGTGGGCGCCTTGTGGGAGCCTCGTGCGATGGGCGGCCCCATGGCTTGCACCACATGGCCTCTACGACAAAGCTTGCACCACGTAGCCTGCACCACATAGCTTACACTATTCAACTTGCATCACGCAGCTGACACCGCATGTCTATGCGCTTCGCGCGCTTAGGCTTTAGCGAGCTCTCGTTAATGAAAAATAATGAGGAGAACGATTGTCGCACAGGTCGTGCCCTCAGGGAGCTCCACCTGCGGCCCCTGAGACAGGCTTGGCTAGCGTTTGCCCGCCCTTGTCGGCACACCCCTCACAGGGATCGCGCCCCACAAGGAGCTCCACCTTCCAGACACAAGGTTCGCATGGTGGCACGCCCCTCACGCGGATCGTGCCCCTCAAATAGCTGCATGGGCGGCACCAGAGTGAAGCTTTATAACGTCGCCCCGCTCACTTCGGCACACATCTCACACGGATCGTGGCCCGCAAAGGGTTCCACGATGGCCCTGGACACAAGGTTCGCATCCCGCCCTCCCGTCTACTTCGGCATACCTCGCACCCATCGTGGCCAACAGGGATCCCCACCTACGGCCCCAAGGCGAAGTTCGCACTGCGCTCCCCTGGCTCTTGCGGCAGACCCTATCACGCGGATCGTGCCCACAAGGAGCGCCACCTAAAGACCCAAAGACAGGGTTTGTGCAGCGCTCCCCAGCCCATGTCAGCAGATCCGTCACGCGAACCATGCCCCAGAAGGATACAATGCAACAGCTTACTTCTTGGGGTCCACAATGGCAAGAAGTCCCCTTACTGGTAAATTCTGACTCCCAGAACTACTAACCAGTGGTTCCCAAACCCCTCCAGAGGCCGGGCCATGCTGGGCCCTGCGGAGGCCCTTCAGGACCTTCCAGAGGCCCTTCAGGGGGCCTTCCAGGAGACCCTTGAATGAGGGGCCCTCCAGAGGCCCTGTGTAAGCACTGCGGGACGGTGTTGGGCGTCAGCCTGCCGTGACAGCGTTGCGTGGCCAATGCAAGTCAGCAGTGCGTGTCAAGTGTGTGGTTGCCCCCGGCCCCCTCGCCCTGCTGCTGCAGCTCCTCCTCCATCCCCCCCCTCGCTTCCTCTCCTCCTCACCCTCCTCCTCCAACTCCGTCTTCAGCTCCTCGTGCGCCTCCTGGCCCTCCTCTTCCTCCTCCTCCTCCTCCTCCTCCTCCTCATCATCATGTAAATCATCCTCGTCCGCCTCGCCCTCTTGCTCGCTGCCCCCACCGTCGATGGCGTCCTGTCACCGGCGAAGACACCCACCGTGCCCGTGGTGCCCTGGCCTCTCGATCGAGGCCGCGCGACCAACTCCAAAGGGAAAGAAGAGCAGAAGAAGCGCGCCCAGCGCAGGCGGACCCTCCACCCACCTTTGCTCCCCTTCCCCTTCCACTCCCTCTCCCTATCCACCTCTACTTCTCTCCCCGCTAGCCGCTGCCCTGGAGGAGCTCCCGCGAACGCCGCGCCGCGGTGCAGCATGGAGGCACGCCCTGTGCTGCCGCGAGGCACGCGGCCGCCCCGCGAGCTCAGGAGCTCTCGTCGAAGAGGTCTCCGAACATGCTCGGGTTCATGATGTAGGTGGAGGTGTACTCGTTGTAGGCCCAAGAGCCGCCCGGGCACGTCATGTTGACGCGGTCGTTCAGCGCCTCGGCCCACAGGTCGTCGGTGACGTCGATCGCCTCCGAGAAGCAGGAGCCTGCCCCACGGCCCCCGTCCTGGAACGCGAAGGCCAGGATCCCCACCTCCTTCACCAACTCCATGCACGCCTCGGCAGTGTCGGCAGTGCGCATTTTCTTCCACTCGCCGCAAGGCTGTCGGAGGGGTAGCCCGCCTCCAGTGGATCTGAGGTAGCATGATCCAGGACCCCCACACCTGCTGCGCATCCTCTCCGCCGTCTGCATGGGAGAACGGGCGGGGCAGAACTTCACCAGCAGCTTCTGGGCAAACTCGGGCTCGTTGTTGATGAGCGCCGTGAGGCCCGGGATGCGCTCGTAGTTGGTCTCCCAGGGCTCGCTCGCCCAGCCCCTGAGCACAAGTAGACTGTTCGTCGAGCTCTCGGCGATCGGGGCCATGAAGATCTGCACGCCCTTGTCCTTCAACGCCGTCGCCTTCATGGTCGTGCGGTACGCGTTGGTGTACTTGCCGTCCGAAAGCACCATGACGGCGCTCTGCGCGTCGTCTCGGCCGTCTGCGAACATGTTGTCGGCCGCCTGGAGGGCCTGCATCATGTTGGTGAACCCACGCTGCCACTGCAGCCCAGCGATCGCCGTGCTGACGGACTCCAGGTCGCTCGTGATCGGGACCACCTCGAGGGCCGCCGCGACGGTTCCATTGTCGAAGTACTCGCCATTTCCGAACAGCACCAGCCCAATGCGCATGTCCTCCACGCCGTAGTACGTGCTCTGGTACTTGCTGGTGAGGTTCAGAGCGAACTTCTGGAGGATGTCGAAGCCCTCCTGCTTCAGGGAGCCGCTGCCGTCGATCGCAATGACGAGGTCCTGCCTGGCGATGCAGATCTCGTCGCCGACGCAGTCCTGGGTGTTGCACTGCTGCATCTGGAAGCGGTCGGGGTGCTTCTGCCCGGGGCACCTGCCGTTCGCGCGAATGGGGATGTCCACCTTGCGCACGCGCTCCTGGATGCCGCCGCCGCAGGCCATCGAGCAAGGCTCCCACGCGGTCCACGGCATGAGCGTGCAGTCGCGGTCGCATGAACCGGTGTTGCACGGCTGCTCCTCGAGCGTGGTGTCGCACTCCGTCCCTCCGTTCTTGGGCTTCACGAGGATGGACCGGGTCTTTCCCTGGGTGCCGCCCCCGCACTCCTTGGAGCAGCCCGACCAGCCAGACCACTCGGACATGGAGCAGTGGACCGGGCAGTGGAACTGGTTGCACTTCATGCCCTCGGTGCCATTCTTGCGCTCGAAGAACAGAGGGGGGCAGGCCATGCCGAAGGAGTTCGGGGAGACGATGACCTGCCTGGTGAGGTGCTTCATGCCGCCGCACGTGTCGACGTCGACGCCCCCGACGTCGGCGGGGCAGCTGTCGTCGCAGTCTACCGGTACTGAACTGCCCCTCCCGTCGGTGGTGCACGGCCCCGCGGACCAGTCCGTCACGTCGCAGTCCTTGATCGACGCCGTGGGCGAGACGGAGCTGTACCGCATCAGCGCATTGCGCACGGTCCGGGTCCCACAGATGTTGGTGTAGAGGATCTCGCTCATGCGCTTCTTGCAGTCCGCCATCTTGATCGTAAAGGCACGCTCGATGTCGCGGTGCTGCTGCTGCTTCTCGCGCGTCGCCGCCGTGAGGGAATTGATCTCGGAGATGGCCTCGCCCAGCATCTCCGTGAACTTCATCTTGTTCGACCTCAGCGTCGCAATCTGCTCGTTCGTGTTCTCCTTCTCGCCCTCGTAGGCGTCGCGATTGCGCTGCATGATGTAGGTCAGCTCGTCCACCAGGTCCTTGAACTTGCCCCATTCGAGCGCCATGAGGTCGTGGAGGTACCCGCAGTTGACCTGGCCGTTGATGCACTTCCTCGAGCCGCCCTTCGGCTGCTTGACCGACTTCGGCGGGGGCGCCTGATCGATCTGCAGCAGCGAGGGCGCCCCGGAGCTTGCGGCCCCCAGGACTTCCTGGAGCACCTTCTGCACCCTCGGCGACCGATTCAATTTCGCCGCCAGGGAGGCGTCGCTCACCTCCACCCGGGTGCCGTTGTCCGAGTCGCAGATCTGGAACTGCGTGAGGGAGTACGTGTCGTCACCGTAGGCGTTGGGACACTTGGACAGCTGCAGGATGGCGGTGAAGACATCCTGGTCATCCTGGCGCAGCGACAGTTCGTACGCGTTCTTCTCGCGGGTTGACTGGAAGCCCCGCTTCAGGATCCCCAGGGCGCCCTCCAGGTCGTTGATCCGAGTCTTCATGTCCGCGATGCCCCCTTCGGCCTCAGACTTCATGCGCTCCTTGTCGGCGAGGTCCGAGCCCAGGTGCTCCAGGTCTGTCACCACCTGGCTGAAGACCATGCGGTTGCTCTCCTCGAACTCCTTGCACTCGACCTCGATCTGGTCCAGCTGCAGCCACGCGTCGTACATCATGTTGTTCAGATACACGCGGCCTTTCGCTAGCGACACCTCGCTGAACTGCCCGGCCGCCTGCCCCCCGTTGGACAGGTGCAGCAGGGACGTCACATCCTTGGGCAGCTTGTCCTCCAGCAGTGGCAGCGCATCGCTCAGCTTCATTTTCTTGTGCAGCTTATGCGCGATGTGCCGAGTTGTGGTGTCCCTGCTCCGCAGCATGTCCTGCACCATGTAGCCCACCTTCGCGCGCAAGCTGGTGCCAGCCACGGCTCGCTTCCCCTCGGCGTCCGCGCCGGAGCGGAGAAGGGCAGCGCGGCCCGGCGCGCAGAGGGCGAGAGCCAGGGCGAGGCCCAGCATCAGCCTCATCGCTGCAGGCTGACTGGCCCTGGTATATGCTTCGTTGTCTGCGATGCTCGCGGGGGGCGAGTCGGAGAGGGCCACTTGGGGCAACAAGACGGCCACTTGAAGGGTCATGGGAAAAGGCACGCGAGCCTCCCGACAAGTCACCTCGCGCTCCCCTCAGCTCCGTGCGTCAGCACCTGCGCGCCAGCATCGTGTCAGCACAATGCTTGGGCGGTGTATTGCTGACGCTGCGCGGCGGCGTTGTAGCGTGGCGCCGGCAACTGTGAAGGAATTCAAATCCAAATTTTCCCTGGAGTGGGCTCCACCAGAGAATTTCCCATGTCACTCAACAGTGCTTGCACTTAGGGGTTCTTACTTCTCCTACTTCTGGAAACTGAATGGCTCAGCCGAGGTTTCGCCTGGTGCCCGCCAGTGGGCGCCTCGTGGGCGCCTCGTGCGATTGGTGGAAGAGCCTAATTTCCGCATGGCCCCCCCCCCAGGGCGCCTGTGGGCGCCTTGTGGGAGCCTCGTGCGATGGGCGCTCCATGGCTTGCACCACATGGCCTCTACGACAAAGCTTGCACCACATAGCTTACACCATTCAACTTGCATCACGCAGCTGACACCGCATGTGTATATACAGATATACGAACTAGAACCACGCGCGCGCTTCGCGCGCGCTTAGGTTCTGTCGAGTCACAGACCCAGGAATCGTTGTGAGAAGAAATTGGTGACGCGAAGCGTCGTGGGGGCGTCCTTGGACGTCTGGGGTCTCCTGGGGCCTCTTGAGGGGCCTCCTGGGGGCCTCCTGGCGGCCTCTTGGGGCGGAAGGCTCGAGCTTGCGGTTCGTGGTCCCCCTCTGGGCCCCCTCTTGGGCCCGTCTTGGGGCCCTCTTGGGCCATCTTGGGCGCCTCTTGGGCCGTCTTGGGGCCCTCTTGGGCTGTCCTGGGGCCCTCTTGGAAGCTTCTTGGGCCGTCTTGGGGCGGTCTTGGGCGCCTCTTGGGCCGTCCTGTAACGTCGGAAAGCCCCAAAGGCGACTTTGTTGAAAAATGTACGTTTTACGAAAGGAATGGGCCAATTTTGCGTCTAGGGGCCCTCTTGGGACGCATGTTGGAGGCTTCTTGGGGCCTCTTGGGGGCGTCCTTGGACGTCTGGGGTCTCCTGGGGCCTCTTGAGGGGCCTCCTGGGGGCCTCCTGGCGGCCTCTTGGGGCGGAAGGCTCGAGCTTGCGGTTCGTGGTCCCCCTCTGGGCCCCCTCTTGGGCCCGTCTTGGGGCCCTCTTGGGCCATCTTGGGCGCCTCTTGGGCCGTCTTGGGGCCCTCTTGGGCTGTCCTGGGGCCCTCTTGGAAGCTTCTTGGGCCGTCTTGGGGCGGTCTTGGGCGCCTCTTGGGCCGCCCTGTAACGTCGGAAAGCCCAAAAGAGAACTTTGTTGAAAATGTACGTTTTACGAAAGGAATGGGTCAATTCTTGCGTCTAGGGGCCCTCTTGGGACGCATGTTGGAGGCTTCTTGGGGCCTCTTGGGGGCGCCCTTGGACGTCTGGAGGCCATCTTCAGCATCTCGGAGCCCTCTTGGAGGCCTCTTGGAAGTTTCTTGGGCCGTCTTGGGCGTCTTGGGGCCGTCTTGTCTGACCGGGGAGGCCTCCGGCAAGCCCCGACGAGCCTCCAGAGCCCCCGGTCCCCACATTTGCGGTCGTGGTCCCGGCCCCGGGCCCCCAGACCAGGTGCGCCGTTATATGTATATGTATTAGAACCACGCGCGCGCGTCGCGCGCTTAGGCTTTAGCGAGCTCTAGTTAAGGTAAAAAGTGAGGACAACGATTGTCGCACAGGTCGTGCCCTCAGGGAGCTCCACCTGCGGCCCCAGAGACAGGCTTGGTTAGCGTTCACCCACCCTTGTCGGCACACCCCTCACAGGGATCGCGCCCCACAGGGAGCTCCGCCTACCAGAAACAAGGTTCGCACAGTGGCACGCCCCTCACGCGGATCGTGCCCCGCAAATAGCTGCACGCGCGGCACCAGAGTGATAACGTCGCCCCGCTACCTTCGGCACACCTCTCACACGGATCGTGGCCGCAACGGGTTCCACGGACGGCCCTGGACACAAGGTTCGCATCCCGCCCTCCCGTCTACTTCGGCACACCTCGCACCCTGATCGTGGCCCACAGGGATCCCCACCTACGGCCCCAAAGGCAAAGTTCGCACTGCGACCCCCCTGGCTCTTGCGGCACACCCCATGACGCGGATCGTGCCCACAAGGAGCGCCACCTAAAGGCCCAAAGACAAGGTTTGCACAACGCTCCCCCGCCCATGTCGATCGACCCGTCACGCGAATCATGCCCCAGAATGAGACAATGCAACAGCTCACTTATTGGGGTCCACGACGGCAAGAATTCCTCTTACTTGTAAAGTTTGACTCCCAGAACTACCAACCATTGGTTCCCAACCCGAAGGCAAGAATTCTCCTTACTTGTAAGCTTTGACTTCCAGAACTACTAACCAGTGGTTCCCAACCCCTCCAGAGGCCCTGCTGGGCCCTGCGCAGACCCTTCAGAGCCCTCCAGAGGCCCTTAAGGGGGCCTTCCAGGAGACCCTTGATGGGGGCCCTCCAGAGGCCCCGTGTGAGCACTGCGTGATGGTGTTGGGCGTCAGCCTGGCGTGACAGCGTTGCGTGGCCAATGCAGGTCAGCAGTGCGTGTCAGGTGTGCGGTTGCCCCCGGCCCCCTCGCCCTGCTGCAGCAGATCCTCCTCCATCCCCCCCTCGCTTCCTCTCTTCCTCACCCTCCTCCTCCAACTCCGTCTCCAGCTCCTCGTGCGCCTCCTGGCCCTCCTCCTCCTCCTCCTCCTCCTCCTCATCATCATCATCCCGTAAATCCTCCTCGTCCGCCTCGCCCTCTTGCTCGCTGCAACCACCGTCGATGGCGCCCTGCCTCCCGCGAAGACACCCACCGTGCCCGTGGTGCCCTGGCCTCTCGATCGAGGCCGCGCGACCAACTCCAAAGGGGAAGAAGGGCAGAAGAAGCGCGCCCAGCGCAGGCGGACCCTCCACCCACCTTTGCTCCCCTTCCCCTTCCACTCCCTCTCCCCTATCCACCTCTACTTCTCTCCCCGCTAGCCGCTGCCCTGGAGGAGCTCCCGCGAACGCTGCGCCGCGGTGCAGCATGGAGGCACGCCCTGTGTTGCCGCGAGGCACGCGGCCGCCCCGCGAGCTCAGGAGCTCTCGTACTGAGAGAGGTCTCCGAACATGCTCGGGTTCATGATGTAGGTAGAGGCGTACTCGTTGTAGACCCATGTACCCCCAGGGCATGTCAGGTTGACGCGGTCGTTCACCGCCTCGGCCCACAGGTCATCGGTGACGTCGATCGCCTCCGAGTAGCAGGTGCCTGCCCCGCGGCCCCCTTCCTCGAACGCAAATGCCAGAATCCCCACCTGCTTCACCAACTCCATGCAAGCCTCGGCGGTGTCGGCATTGCGCATTCTCTTCCACTCGCCGCAGCTGTCGGAGGGGTAGCCCTCTTCGTGGATCTTGAGGAAGCCCTGCTGTGTCTCCTCCTCTATCTTCTGCGATGGAGAGAACGCGCGGGGGCAGAACTTCACCAGCAACTTCTGGGCGAACTCGGGCTCGTTGTTGATGAGCGCCGTGAGGCCTGGAATGCGCTCGTAGTTGGTCTCCCAGGGCTCGCTCGCCCAGCCCCTGAGCACCAGCAGACTATCGGTCGAGCTATCGGCGATCGGGGCCATGAAAATCTGCACTCCTTTGTCCTTCAACGCCCTCGCCTTCATGGTCGTGCGGTACGCGTTGGTGTACCTGCCGTCCGAAAGCACCATGACGGCGCTCTGCGCGTCGTCCCGGCCCTCCGCGAACATGTTGTCGGCCGCCTGGAGGGCCTGCATCATGTTGGTGAACCCACGCTGCCACTGCAGCCCGGCGATCGCCGTGCTGACGGACTCCAGGTCGCTTGTGATCGGGACCACCTCGAGGGCCGCCGCGACGGTGCCATTGTCGAAGTACTCGCCATTCCCGAACAGCACCAGCCCGATGCGCATGTCCTCCACGCCGTAGTACGTGCTCTGGTACCTGCTGGTGAGGTTTAGAGCGAATTTCTGGAGGATGTCGAAACCCTCCTGCTTGAGGGAGCCGCTGCCGTCGATCGCAATGACCAGGTCCTGCCTGGCGATGCAGATCTCATCGCCGACGCAGTCCTGGGTGTTGCACTCCTGCATCTGGAAGCGGTCGGGGTGCTTCTGCCCCGGGCACTTGCCGTTCGCGCGGATGGGGATGTCCACCTTGCGCACGCGCTCCTGGATGCCGCCACCGCAGGCCATCGAGCACGGCTCCCACGCGGTCCACGGCATGAGCGTACAGTCGCGGTCGCACGAACCGGTGTTGCACGGCTGCTCCTCGAGCGTGGCGTCGCACTCCGTCCCCCCGTTCTTGGGCTTCACGAGGATGGACCGGGTCCTCCCCTGGGTGCCGCCCCCGCACTCCTTGGAGCAGCCCGACCAACCGGACCACTCGGACAAGGAGCAGTGGACCGGGCAGTGAAACTGGTTGCACTTCATGCCCTCGGTGCCGTTCTTGCGCTCAAAGAACAGCGGGGGGCAAGCCATGCCGAAGGAGTTCGGGGAGACGATGACCTGCCTGGTGAGGTGCTTCATGCCGCCGCACGCGTCGACGTCGACGCCCCCGACGTCGGCGGGGCAGCTGTCGTCACAGTCTACGGGTACGGAGCTGCCCCTCCCGTCGGTAGTGCATGGCCCCGCGGACCAGTCCGTCACGTCGCAATCCTTAATCGAATTCGTGGGCGAGACACTGCTGTACCGCATCAACGCATTGCGCACGGTCCGGGTCCCGCAAATGTTAGTGTAGAGGATCTCGCTCATGCGCTTCTTGCAGTTCGCCATCCTCATGGTGAAGGCGCGCTCGATGTCGCGGTGCTGCTGCTGCTTCTCGCGCGTCGCCGCCGTGAGCGAATTGATCTCGGAGATGGACTCGCCCAGCATCTCCGTAAACTTCATCTTGTTCGATCTCAGTGTCGCAATCTGCTCGTTCATGTTCTCCTTCTCGCCCTCGTAGGCGTCGCGATTACGTTGCATGATGTACGTCAGCTCGTCCACCAGGTCCTTAAACTTGCCCCACTCGAGCGCCATGAGGTCGTGGAGGTAGCCGCAGTTGACCTGGCCGTTGAGGCACTTCCTCGAGCCGCCCTTCGGCTGCTTAACCGACTGCGGCGGGGGCGCCTGATCGATCTGCAGCAGCGAGGGCGCCCCCGAGCTAGCCGCCCCCAGCACTTCCTGGAGCACCTTCTGCACCCGCGGCGACCGATTCAATTTCGCTGCCAGAGCGGCGTCGCTCACCTCCACCTGGGTGCCGTTGTCCGTGTCGCAGATCTGGAACTGTGCGAGGGAGTACGTGTCGTCTCCGTAGGCGTTGGGGCACTTGGACAGCTGCAGGATGGCGGGTGGAAGACATCCTGGTCCATCCTGGCGCAGCGACAGTTCGTACGCGTTATTCCTCGCTGGTTGACTGGAAGCCCCGCTTCAGGATCCCCAGGCGCCCTCCACGGTCGTTGATCCGAGTCTTCATGTCGCGGCGATGCCCCCTTCGGCCTCTACTTCATGCGCTCCCTGGTTGGCGACCTCCCGAGCCCAGGTGCTCCAGGTCTGTCACCACCTGGCTGAGACCATGCGGTTGCTCTCCCTTCGACGCTCCTTGCACGTCGACCTCCATCTGGTCCAGGCTGGTCAAAGCCACGCGTCGTACATCATGTTGTTTTCAATCACGCGGCCTTTCGCTAGCGACACCTCGCTGAACTGCCCGCCGCCTGCCCCCCGTTGTACAGGTGGGCAGCAGGGCCTTCACCTCCTTGGCACTTGTCCTCAGCATGGCAGCGCTCGCTCAGCTTCATCTTCTTGTGCAGCTTATGCGCGATGTGCCGAGTTGTGGTGTCCCTGCTCCGCAGCATGTCCTGCACCATGTAGCCCACCTTCGCGCGCAAGCTGGTGCCAGCCACGGCTCGCTTCCCCTCGGCGTCCGCGCCGGAGCGGAGAAGGGCAGCGCGGCCCGGCGCGCAGAGGGCGAGAGCCAGGGCGAGGCCCAGCATCAGCCTCATCGCTGCAGGCTGACTGGCCCTGGTATATGCTTCGTTGTCTGCGATGCTCGCGGGGGGCGAGTCGGAGAGGGCCACTTGGGGCAACAAGACGGCCACTTGAAGGGTCATGGGAAAAGGCACGCGAGCCTCCCGACAAGTCACCTCGCGCTCCCCTCAGCTCCGTGCGTCAGCACTGCGCGCCAGCATCGTGTCAGCACAATGCTTGGGCGGTGTATTGCTGACGCTGCGCGGCGGCGTTGTAGCGTGGCGCCGGCAACTGTGAAGGAATTCAAATCCAAATTTTCCTGGAGCAGGCTCCACCAGAGAATTCCCCATGTCACTCAACAGTGCTTGCACTTAGGGGTTCTTACTTCTCCTACTTCTGGAAACTGAATGGCTCAGCCGAGGCTTCGCCTGGTGCCCGCCAGTGGGCGCCTCGTGGGCGCCTCGTGCGATTGGTGGAAGAGCCTCGCTTCCGCCTGGTGCCCCCCCCAGGACGCCTGTGGGCGCCTCGTGGGAGCCTCGTGCGATGGGCGGCCCCATGGCTTGCACCACATGGCCTCTACGACAAAGCTTGCACCACATAGCTTACACCATTCAACTTGCATCACGCAGCTGACACCGCATGTGTACATACAGATATACGAATGTATTAGAACCACGCGCGCGCTTCGCGCGGTTAGGCTTTAGCGAGCTCTAGTTAAGGTAAAAAGTGAGGACAACGATTATCGCACAGGACGTGCACTCAGGGAGCTCCATCTGCGGCCCCAGAGACAGGCTTGGCTAGCGCTCGCCCGCCCTTGTCGGCACACCCCTCACAGGGATCGCGCCCCACAAGAAGCTCCACCTACCAGAAACAAGGTTCGCATGGTGGCACGCCCCTCACGCGGATCGTGCCCCGCAAATAGCTGCACGCGCGGCACCAGAGTGATAACGTCGCCCCCTACCTTCGGCACACCTCTCACACGGATCGTGGCCGCAACGGGTTCCACGGACGGCCCTGGACACAAGGTTCGCATCCCGCCCACCCGTCTACTTCGGCACACCTCGCACCCTGATCGTGGCCCACAGGGATCCCCACCTACGGCCCCAAAGGCAAAGTTCGCACTGCGCCCCCCCTGGCTCTTGCGGCACACCCCATGACGCGGATCGTGCCCACAAGGAGCGCCACCTAAAGGCCCAAAGACAAGGTTTGCACAACGCTCCCCCGCCCATGTCGATCGACCCGTCACGCGAATCATGCCCCAGAATGAGACAATGCAACAGCTTACTTCTTGGGGTCCGCGATGGCAAGAATTCCCCTTACTTGTAAAGTTTGACTCCCAGAACTACCAACCATTGGTTCCCAACCCGATGGCAAGAATTCCCCTTACTTGTAAGTTCTGGCTCCCAGAACTACTAACCAGTGGTTCCCAACCCCTCCAGAGGCCCTGCTGGGCCCTGCGCGCCCCTTCAGAGCCCTCCAGAGGCCCTTAAGGGGGCCTTCCAGGAGACCCCTGATGGGGGCCCTCCAGAGGCCCCGTGTGAGCACTGCGTGATGATGTTGGGCGTCAGCCTGGCGTGACAGCGTTGCGTGGCCAATGCAGGTCAGCAGTACGTGTCAGGTGTGCGGTTGCCCCCGGCCCCCTCGCCCTGCTGCAGCAGCTCCTCCTCCATCCACCCCTCGCTTCCTCTCTTCCTCACCCTCCTCCTCCAACTCCGTCTCCAGCTCCTCGTGCGCCTCCTGGCCCTCCTCCTCCTCCTCCTCCTCCTCCTCCTCATCCCGTAAATCCTCCTCGTCCGCCTCGCCCTCTTGCTCGCTGCAACCACCGTCGATGGCGCCCTGTCTCCCACGAAGACACCCACCGTGCCCGTGGTGCCCTGGCCTCTCGATCGAGGCTGCGCGACCAACTCCAAAGGGAAAGAAGGGCAGAAGAAGCGCGCCCAGCGCAGGCGGACCCTCCACCCACCTTTGCTCCGCTTCCCCTTCCACTCCCTCTCCCCATCCACCTCTACTTCTCTCCCCGCAAGCCGCTGCCCTGGAGGAGCTCCCGCGAACGCCGCGCCGCGGTGCAGCATGGAGGCACGCCCTGTGCTGCCGCGAGGCACGCGGCCGCCCCGCGAGCTCAGGAGCTCTCGTCGAAGAGGTCTCCGAACATGCTCGGGTTCATGATGTAGGTGGAGGTGTACTCGTTGTAGACCCAAGAGCCGCCCGGGCACGTCATGTTGACGCGGTCGTTCAGCGCCTCGGCCCACAGGTCGTCGGTGACGTCGATCGCCTCCGAGAAGCAGGAGCCTGCCCCACGGCCCCCGTCCTGGAACGCGAAGGCCAGGAGCCCCACCTCCTTCACAAACTCCATGCACGCCTCGGCGGTGTCGGCAGAGCGCATTCTCTTCCACTCGCCGCAGCTGTCGGAGGGGTAACCCTCCTCGTGGATCTTGAGGTAGCCCTGCTGCGCCTCCTCCTCCGCCTTCTGCTATGGTGAGAACGCGCGGGGGCAGAACTTCACCAGCACTTCTGGGCAAACTCGGGCTCGTTGTTGATGAGCGCCGTGAGGCCCGGGATGCGCTCGTAGTTGGTCTCCCAGGGCTCGCTCGCCCAGCCCCTGAGCACCAGTAGACTGTTCGTCGAGCTCTCGGCGATCGGGGCCATGAAGATCTGCACGCCCTTGTCCTTCAACGCCGTCGCCTTCATGGTCGTGCGGTACGCGTTGGTGTACTTGCCGTCCGAAAGCACCATGACGGCGCTCTGCGCGTCGTCTCGGCCGTCTGCGAACATGTTGTCGGCCGCCTGGAGGGCCTGCATCATGTTGGTGAACCCACGCTGCCACTGCAGCCCAGCGATCGCCGTGCTGACGGACTCCAGGTCGCTCGTGATCGGGACCACCTCGAGGGCCGCCGCGACGGTTCCATTGTCGAAGTATTCGCCATTTCCGAACAGCACCAGCCCGATGCGCATGTCCTCCACGCCGTAGTACGTGCTCTGGTACTTGCTGGTGAGGTTCAGAGCGAACTTCTGGAGGATGTCGAAGCCCTCCTGCTTCAGGGAGCCGCTGCCGTCGATCGCAATGACGAGGTCCTGCCTGGCGATGCAGATCTCGTCGCCGACGCAGTCCTGGGTGTTGCACTGCTGCATCTGGAAGCGGTCGGGGTGCTTCTGCCCGGGGCACCTGCCGTTCGCGCGGATGGGGATGTCCACCTTGCGCACGCGCTCCTGGATGCCGCCGCCGCAGGCCATCGAGCAAGGCTCCCACGCGGTCCACGGCATGAGCGTGCAGTCGCGGTCGCACGAACCGGTGTTGCACGGCTGCTCCTCGAGCGTGGTGTCGCATTCCGTCCCCCCGTTCTTGGGCTTCACGAGGATGGACCGGGTCTTTCCCTGGGTGCCGCCCCCGCACTCCTTGGAGCAGCCCGACCAGCCGGACCACTCGGACATGGAGCAGTGAACCGGGCAGTGGAACTGGTTGCACTTCATACCCTCGGTGCCGTTCTTGCGCTCGAAGAACAGAGGGGGGCAGGCCATGCCGAAGGAGTTCGGGGAGACGATGACCTGCCTGGTGAGGTGCTTCATGCCGCCGCACGTGTCGACGTCGACGCCCCCGACGTCGGCGGGGCAGCTGTCGTCGCAGTCTACCGGTACTGAACTGCCCCTCCCGTCGGTGGTGCACGGCCCCGCGGACCAGTCCGTCACGTCGCAGTCCTTGATCGACGCCGTGGGCGAGACGGTGCTGTACCGCATCAGCGCATTGCGCACGGTCCGGGTCCCACAGATGTTGGTGTAGAGGATCTCGCTCATGCGCTTCTTGCAGTCCGCCATCTTGATCGTGAAGGCACGCTCGATGTCGCGGTGCTGCTGCTGCTTCTCGCGCGTCGCCGCCGTGAGGGAATTGATCTCGGAGATGGCCTCGCCCAGCATCTCCGTGAACTTCATCTTGTTCGACCTCAGCGTCGCAATCTGCTCGTTCGTGTTCTCCTTCTCGCCCTCGTAGGCGTCGCGATTGCGCTGCATGGTGTAGGTCAGCTCGTCCACCAGGTCCTTGAACTTGCCCCACTCGAGCGCCATGAGGTCGTGGAGGTACCCGCAGTTGACCTGGCCGTTGATGCACTTCCTCGAGCCGCCCTTTGGCTGCTTGACCGACTTCGGCGGGGGCGCCTGATCGATCTGCAGCAGGGAGGGCGCCCCCGAGCTTGCCGCCCCCAGGACTTCCTGGAGCACCTTCTGCACCCTCGGCGACCGATTCAATTTCGCTGCCAGGGAGGCGTCGCTCACCTCCACCCGGGTGCCGTTGTCCGAGTCGCAGATCTGGAACTGCGTGAGGGAGTACGTGTCGTCACCGTAGGCGTTGGGACACTTGGACAGCTGCAGGATGGCGGTGAAGACATCCTGGTCATCCTGGCGCAGCGACAGTTCGTACGCGTTCTTCTCGCGGGTTGACTGGAAGCCCCGCTTCAGGATCCCCAGGGCGCCCTCCAGGTCGTTGATCCGAGTCTGCATGTCCGCGATGCCCCCTTCGGCCTCAGCCTTCATGCGCTCCTGGTCGGCGAGGTCCGAGCCCAGGTGCTCCAGGTCTGTCACCACCTGGCTGAAGACCATGCGGTTGCTCTCCTCGAACTCCTTGCACTCGACCTCGATCTGGTCCAGCTGCAGCCACGCGTCGTACATCATGTTGTTCAGATACACGCGGCCTTTCGCTAGCGACACCTCGCTGAACTGCCCGGCCGCCTGCCCCCCGTTGGACAGGTGCAGCAGGGACGTCACATCCTTGGGCAGCTTGTCCTCCAGCAGTGGCAGCGCATCGCTCAGCTTCATCTTCTTGTGCAGCTTATGCGCGATGTGCCGAGTTGTGATGTCCCTGCTCCGCAGCATGTCCTGCACCATGTAGCCCACCTTCGCGCGCAAGCTGGTGCCAGCCACGGCTCGCTTCCCCTCGGCGTCCGCGCCCGAGCGAAGAAGGGCAGCGCGGCCCGGCGCGCAGAGGGCGAGAGCCAGGGCGAGGCCCAGCATCAGCCTCATCGCTGCAGGCTGACTGGCCCTGGTATATGCTTCGTTGTCTGCGATGCTCGCGGGGGGCGAGTCGGAGAGGGCCACTTGGGGCAACAAGACGGCCACTTGAAGGGTCATGGGAAAAGGCACGCGAGCCTCCCGACAAGTCACCTCGCGCTCCCCTCAGCTCCGTGCGTCAGCACCTGCGCGCCAGCATCGTGTCAGCACAATGCTTGGGCGGTGTATTGCTGACGCTGCGCGGCGGCGTTGTAGCGTGGCGCCGGCAACTGTAAAGGAATTCAAATCCAAATTTTCCCTGGAGTGGGCTCCACCAGAGAATCCCACCAGCCCTCTGGGCGTCGGTGGTTTAGAGCGTTTCCTCTTCCACCCCTCCCTCTTCCCCTTCGGGGAGGGGTTTACCCCTCCCCCTACCCCCTCCCCACTGACCTGGACAGGGGGTTCCGCGGCGCGTTGGAGCGCCCAAGATGGCCCAAGACGGCTCCAAGAGGGTCTCAGGGAGCCCAAGATACCCTCCAAGATGGCTCAAGATAGCGCAAGATGCCTCAAGATGGTCCCCATGATGTTCCAAGACGTTCCAAGAACTCTCCAAGACGGTTCCAAGTGCCCACAAGAGCATCATTAGGATGCATCCAAGAGGCCACAATGCTTCAAAACCCTAAGGGAAATCAATGTTTTTGGTGTTCTCACTTTTTCGCTTGCGATGCACATCCGAGGCGTCAAGATGGCTCCAAGATGGCTCAAGATAGCTCCAAGAAGGGCCCAATAAAGCCCCATGACGGCGCCAAGAGCGCCGAAGAACGCTCCAAGAGCGGTCCCAGAGCGGTACAGGAGACGATTTTTGGAATTCCTGGGGGGGGGCTCTGATTAAGGAACCCTACTTCCTTGACCGATGGCCGCAGGATGGCCCCAAGATGGCCCCAAGAGGCCCCCCAAGAGGCCCCCAGGAGGCCCCCAAGAGACCCCCAAGAGGCCCCAAGAGACCCCCCAGAGGCACCCAAGGGGCAAAGATGGCCCCAAGAAGCGCCCAGGAGGCCCCCCAAGGCCCCAAGATGGCCCCAAGAGGCCCCAAGAGGCCCCCAGGAGGCCCCAAAGAGGATCCCGAACGGCCCACAGAGGCCCCCCCGAGGCACCCAAGACGCCGAAAAGCCCCTCAGGACGACCCTCTACTCGCCTGGGCGTCGTTTCTGGACGGGCTGGTGGGGATACTTTTTTTTACAGCCGCAGGCGGAAGCGCCAGCGGCGGGCGGTCGCGGTCGGGCTGCGGCCGCGACTAACGGCGGGCGCGCGCGAAGCCGCGGTCAGGCGGCAGGCAGCAGCGACCCAGGGCGTCTGAGCCAAGGCGTGCAATCCAGGGAGTCTGCAGGGCAGCCCCAGGACGAGTCATGCAACGGCGCATCCAGGGAGTCTGAACACAGGAACCGAGGAAGCCGAGCGCAGCCAAAATGGCGCGTAAGGCGCCCCCAACAGTTCGAATCGAACAAGTAGGAACGGTCCCGAAGACGTCTATCCAGGGAGTCTGACGGGTAGCACAGACTGACTGGCGACACAGTCCAGCGGGAAGACCTGACGGCGGATCAGAGCATCGCGACGTCAGTACACGCATCCAGGGTGTGGAATCAGAGTAGCCACAGAGAACCTTCCACAACTGAGATGCGTCAGGCCCTTGATCCAGCGACAGAAAAGGGCGCAGCAGTGTGCACGAAGCCACACGGTAGGAACACGGGCCGAAGGTGCACATCCAAAGTGTCTCAGTGCCACCCATAAACGAGTCAGGTAGCACCCGAGGGACGGGACCGTCGTATACCCAAAACGCGTCCCTCTGAGTCACTTCGATCCAGGGTCACGGCTGAAGGCCGTTAAATGGTTAAAAAGTCCGCTGGTGGGGATACGCGAAGCGTCTAGAATTCCCCAGGTCACTCAACAGTGCTTGCACTTAGGGGTTCTTACTTCTCCTACTTCTGGAAACTGAATGGCTCAGCCGAGGTTTCGCCTGGTGCCCGCCAGTGGGCGCCTCGTGGGCGCCTCGTGCGACTGGTGGAAGAGCCTAATTTCCGCATGGGCCCCCCCCAGGACGCCTGTGGGCGCCTTGTGGGAGCTTCGTGCGATGGGCGGCCCCATGGCTTGCACCACATGGCCTCTACGACAAAGCTTGCACCACATAGCTTACACCATTCAACTTGCATCACGCAGCTGACACCGCATGTGTACATACAGATATACGAATGTATTAGAACCACGCGCGAGCTTCGCGCGCTTAGGCTTTAGCGAGCTCTAGTTAAGGTAAAAAGTGAGGACAACGATTGTCGCACAGGTCGTGCCCTCAGGGAGCTCCACCTGCAGGTCGTGCCCTCAGGGAGCTCCACCTGCGGCCCCAGAGACAGGCTTGGCTAGCGTTCACCCGCCCTTGTCGGCACACCCCTCACAGGGATCGCGCCCCACAGGGAGCTCCACCTACCAGAAACAAGGTTCGCAGAGTGGCACGCCCCTCACGCGGATCGTGCCCCGCAAATAGCTGCACGCGCGGCACCAGAGTGATAACGTCGCCCCGCTACCTTCGGCACACCTCTCACACGGATCGTGGCCGCAACGGGTTCCACGGACGGCCCTGGACACAAGGTTCGCATCCCGCCCTCCCGTCTACTTCGGCACACCTCGCACCCTGATCGTGGCCCACAGGGATCCCCACCTAAGGCCCCAAAGGCAAAGTTCGCACTGCGCCCCCCCTGGCTCTTGCGGCACACCCCATGACGCGGATCGTGCCCACAAGGAGCGCCACCTAAAGACCCAAAGACAAGGTTTGCACAACGCTCCCCCGCCCATGTCGATCGACCCGTCACGCGAACCATGCCCCAGAATGAGACAATGCAACAGCGTACTTCTTGGGGTCCACGATGGCAAGAATTCCCCTTACTTGTAAAGTTTGACTCCCAGAACTACCAACCATTGGTTCCCAACCCGATGGCAAGAATTCTCCTTACTTGTAAGTTTTGACTCCCAGAACTACTAACCAGTGGTTCCCAACCCCTCCAGAGGCCCTGCTGGGCCCTGCGCAGACCCTTCAGAGCCCTCCAGAGGCCATTAAGGGGGCCTTCCAGGAGACCCTTGATGGGGGCCCTCCAGAGGCCCCGTGTGAGCACTGCGTGATGGTGTTGGGCGTCAGCCTGGCGTGACAGCGGTGCGTGGCCAATGCAGGTCAGCAGTGCGTGTCAGATGTGTGGCTGCCACAGCCCCCTCGCCCTGCTGCTGCAGCTCCTTCTCCCTCCAGCCCACCTCGCTTCCTCTCCTCCTCACCCACCCTCCTCCAACTCCGTCTCCAGCTCCTCGTGCGTCTCCTGGCCCTCCTCCTCCTCCTCCTCCTCCTACAAATCCTCCTCGTCCGCCTCGCCCTCTTGCTCGCTGCCCCCACCGTCGATGCCGTCCCCTTTGGTGAAGACACCTACCGTGCCCGTGGTACTCTGGCCTCTCGAGCGAGGCCGCGCGACCAAGCCCCGAGGGAACGAAGAGTTCACTAGTTCTCTCCCTGCTAGCCGCTGCCCTGCAGGACCTCCCGCGAAAGACGTGCCGCGGTGCCACATGGAGGCACGCCCTGTGCTGCCGCGAGACACGCGGCCGCCCCGAAAGCTAAGGAGCTGTCGTCGAAGAGGTCTCCGAACATGCTCGCGTTCATGATGCAGGTGGAGGCGTGCTCGTTGTAGACCCAAGCGCCGCCTGGGCACGTCAGATCGACGCGGTCGTTCAGCGCCTCGGCCCACAGGTCGTCGGTGACGTCAATCGCCTCCGAGTAGCAGGTGCCTACCCCGCGGCCCCCGCCCTCGAACGCGAAGGCCAGGATCCCCACCTCCTTCACCAACTCCATGCACGCCTCGGCGGAACATTGCGCATTCAATTCCACTCGCCGCAGCTGTCGGAGTGGTAGCCCGCCTCGTGGTTCTTGAGGTAGCCCTGCTGCGCCTCCTCCTCCGCCTTCTGCGTTGCCGAGAACGCGCGGGGGCAGAATCTCACCAGCAACTTCTGGGCAGACTCGGGCTCGTTGGTGGGCGCCGTGAGGCCTGGGATGCGCTCGTAGTTGGTCTCCCAGGGCTCGCTCGCCCGGCCCCTGAGCACCAGTATTCTATTCGTCGCTCTCCCGGCGATCGGGACCATGAAGATCTGCACGCCCTTGTCCTTCAACGCCGTCGCCTTTATGGTCGTGCGGTACGCGTTGGTGTACTTGCAGTCAAAAAGCACCATGACAGCGCTCTGCGCGTCGTCTCGGCCGTCCGCGAACATGTTGTCGGCCGCCTGGAGGGCCTGCATCGTGTTGGTGAACCCACACTGCCACGGCAGCCCAGCGATCGCCGTGCTGACGGACTCCAGGTCGCTCGTGATCGGGACCACCTCGAGGGCCGCCGCGACGGTTCCATTGTCGGAGTACTCGCCATTTACGAGCAGCACCAGCCCGATGCGCGTGTCCTCCACGCCGTAGTACGTGCTCTGGTACTGACTGGTGAGGTTCATAGCAGAACGAACTTCTGGAGGATGTCGAAGCCCTCCTGCTTCAGGGAGCCGCTGCCGTCGATCGCAATGACGAGGTCCTGCCTGGCGATGCAGATCTCGTCGCCGACGCAGTCCGGGGTGCTTCTGCCCGGGGCACCTGCCGTTCGCGCGGATGGGGATGTCCACCCTGCGCACGCGCTCCTGGATACCGCCGCCGCAGGCCATCGAGCAAGGCTCACACGTGGTTCACGGCATGAGCGTGCAGTGACGGTCGCACGAACCGGTGTTGCACGACTGCTCCTCGAGCGTGGTGTCGCACTCCGTCCCCCCGTTCTTGGGCTTCACGAGAATGGACCGGGTCTTTCCCTGGGTGTCGCCCCCGCACTCCCTGGAGAAGCCCGACCAGCCGAACCACTCGGACATGGAGCAGTGGACCAGGCAGTGGAACTGGTTGCACTTAATGCCCTCGGTGCCGTTCTTGCGCTCGAAGAACAGCGGGGGCCAGGCCATGCCGAAGGAGTTCGGGGAGACGATGACCTGCCTGGTGAGGTGCTTCATGCCGCCGCACGTGTCGACGTCGACGCCGCAGTCTACCGGCACTGAGCTGCCCCTCCCGTCGGTGGTGCAAGGCCCCGCGGACCAGTCCGTCACGTCGCAGTCCTTGATCGACGCCGTGGGCGAGACGGTGCTGTACCGCATTAGCGCATTGCGCACGGTCCGGATCCCACAGATGTTGGTGTAGAGGATCTCGCTCATGCGCTTCTTGCAGTCCGCCATCTTGATCGTGAAGGCACGCTCGATGTCGCGGTGCTGCTGCTGCTTCTCGCGCGTCGCCGCCGTGAGGGAATTGATCTCGGAGATGGCCTCGCCCAGCATCTCCGTGAACTTCATCTTGTTCGACCACAGCGTCGCAATCTGCTCGTTCATGTTCTCCTTCTCGCCCTCGTAGGCGTCGCGGTTGCGCTGCATGATGTAGGTCAGCTCGTCCACCAGGTCCTTGGACTTGCCCCACTCTAGCGCCATGAGGTCGTGGAGGTACCCGCAGTTGACCTGGCCGTTGATGCACTTCCTCGAGCCGCCCTTCGGCTGCTTGACCGACTTCGGCGGGGGCGCCTGATCGATCTGCAGCAGCGAGGGCGCCCCGGAGCTTGCGGCCCCCAGGACTTCCTGGAGCACCTTCTGCACCCTCGGCGACCGATTCAATTTCGCTGCCAGGGAGGCGTCGCTCACCTCCACCCGGGTGCCGTTGTCCGAGTCGCAGTCTTGAAACGTGCGTGAGCCTGAGTAACGTGTCGTCCACCGCGTAGGCGTTGGGAACAACTTGGACAGCTGCAGGATGGCGTGAAGTAACATCTGGTATGCCTGCCGCAGCGACAGTTCGTACCGTTCTTCTCGCGTGTTGACGGAAGCCCCGCTTCAGGATCCCCCAGATCCCCATGGGCGCCCTCGCAAGTTCGTTGCGATCCGAGTCTTCATGTCCGCGATGCCCCCTCGGCCTCAACTTCATGCGCCTCCCTGTCGCGAGGTCCGAGCCCAGTTCTCCATGTCATGTCACCACCTGGCTGAAAGACAATGCGGTTGCTCTCCTCGAACTCCTTGCACTCGACCTCGATCTGGTCCAGCTGCAGCCACGCGTCGTACATCATGTTGTTCAGATACACGCGGCCTTTCGCTAGCGACACCTCGCTGAACTGCCCGGCCGCCTGCCCCCCGTTGGACAGGTGCAGCAGGGACGCCACATCCTTGGGCAGCTTGTCCTCCAGCAGTGGCAGCGCATCGCTGAGCTTCATCTTCTTGTGCAGCTTATGCGCGATGTGCCGAGTTGTGGTGTCCCTGCTCCGCAGCATGTCCTGCACCATGTAGCCCACCTTCGCGCGCAAGCTGGTGCCAGCCACGGCTCGCTTCCCCTCGGCGTCCGCGCCGGAGCGGAGAAGGGCAGCGCGGCCCGGCGCGCAGAGGGCGAGAGCCAGGGCGAGGCCCAGCATCAGCCTCATCGCTGCAGGCTGACTGGCCCTGGTATATGCTTCGTTGTCTGCGATGCTCGCGGGGGGCGAGTCGGAGAGTGCCACTTGGGGCAACAAGACGGCCACTTGAAGGACCATGTGAAAAGGCACGCGAGCCTTCCGACAAGTCACCTCGCGCTCCCCTCAGCGCCGTGCGTCAGCACCTGCGCGCCAGCATCGTGTCAGCACAATGCTTGGGCGGTGTATTGCTGACGCTGCGCGGCGGCGTTGTAGCGTGGCGCCGGCAACATTGAAGGAATTCAAATCCAAATTTTCCTGGAGCAGGCTCCACCAGAGAATTCCCCATTTCACTCAGTAGTGCTTGCACTTAGGGGTTCTTACTTCTCCTACTTCTGGAAACTGAATGGCTCAGCCGAGGCTTCGCCTGGTGCCCGCCAGTGGGCGCCTCGTGGGCGCCTCGTGCGATTGGTGGAAGAGCCTAATTTCCGCATGGGGCCCCCCCCAGGCCGCCTGTGGGCGCCTTGTGGGAGCCTCGTGCGATGGGCGGCCCCATGGCTTGCACCACATGGCCTCTACGACAAAGCTTGCACCACATAGCTTACACCATTCAACTTGCATCACGCAGCTGACACCGCATGTGTACATACAGATATACGGATGTATTAGAACCACGAGCGCGCTTCGCGAGCTTAGGCTTTAGCGAGCTCTAGTTAAGGTAAAAAGTGAGGACAACGATTATCGCACAGGACGTGCCCTAAGGGAGCTCCACCTGCGGCCCCAGAGACAGGCTTGGCTAGCGCTCGCCCGCCCTTGTCGGCACACCCCTCACAAGGATCGCGCCCCACAAGAAGCTCCACCTACCAGAAACAAGTTTCGCATGGTGGCACGCCCCTCACGCGGATCGTGCCCCGCAAATAGCTGCACGCGCGGCACCAGAGTGATAACGTCGCCCCGCTACCTTCGGCACACCTCTCACACGGATCGTGGCCGCAACGGGTTCCACAGACCGCCCTGGACACAAGGTTCGCATCCCGCCCTCCCGTCTACTTCGGCACACCTCGCACCCTGATCGTGGCCCACAGGGATCCCCACCTACGGCCCCAAAGGCAAAGTTCGCACTGCGCCCCCCCTGGCTCTTGCGGCACACCCCATGACGCGGATCGTGCCCACAAGGAGCGCCACCTAAAGGCCCAAAGACAAGGTTTGCACAACGCTCCCCCGCCCATGTCGATCGACCCGTCACGCGAATCATGCCCCAGAATGAGACAATGCAACAGCTTACTTCTTGGGGTCCACGATGGCAAGAATTCCCCTTACTTGTAAAGTTTGACTCCCAGAACTACCAACCATTGGTTCCCAACCCGATGGCAAACATTCCCCTTACTTGTAAGTTTTGACTCCCAGAACTACTAACCAGTGGTTCCCAACCCCTGCAGAGGCCCTGCTGGGCCCTGCGCAGACCCTTCAGAGCCCTCCAGAGGCCCTTAAGGGGGCCTTCCAGGAGACCCCTGATGGGGGCCCTCCAGAGGCCCCGTGTGAGCACTGCGTGATGGTGTTGGGCGTCAGCCTGGCGTGACAGCGGTGCGTGGCCAATGTAGGTCAGCAGTGCGTGTCAGGTGCGGTTGCCCCCGGCCCCCTCGCCCTGCTGCAGCAGCTCCTCCTCCATCCCCCCCTCGCTTCCTCTCTTCCTCACCCTCCTCCTCCAACTCCGTCTCCAGCTCCTCGTGCGCCTCCTGGCCCTCCTCCTCCTCCTCCTCCTCCTCCTCATCATCATCATCCCGTAAATCCTCCTCGTCCGCCTCGCCCTCTTGCTCGCTGCAACCACCGTCGATGGCGCCCTGCCTCCCGCGAAGACACCCACCGTGCCCGTGGTGCCCTGGCCTCTCGATCGAGGCCGCGCGACCAACTCCAAAGGGGAAGAAGGGCAGAAGAAGCGCGCCCAGCGCAGGCGGACCCTCCACCCACCTTTGCTCCCCTTCCCCTTCCACTCCCTCTCCCCTATCCACCTCTACTTCTCCTCTACTTCTCTCCCCGCTAGCCGCTGCCCTGGAGGAGCTCCCGCGAACGCTGCGCCGCGGTGCAGCATGGAGGCACGCCCTGTGTTGCCGCGAGGCACGCGGCCGCCCCGCGAGCTCAGGAGCTCTCGTCGAAGAGGTCTCCGAACATGCTCGGGTTCATGATGTAGGTGGAGGTGTACTCGTTGTAGACCCAAGAGCCGCCTGGGCACGTCATGTTGACGCGGTCGTTCAGCGCCTCGGCCCACAGGTCGTCGGTGACGTCGATCGCCTCCGAGAAGCAGGAGCCTGCCCCACGGCCCCCGTCCTGGAACGCGAAGGCCAGGATCCCCACCTCCTTCACCAACTCCATGCACGCCTCGGCAGTGTCGGCAGTGCGCATTCTCTTCCACTCGCCGCAG